CACATGCAAGAGCAGCTACACGAAGGGTGCGGAGCGGGGGCCGCTTGGCAGGCGGGGGGGCTGGGGCAGAGCTGTGCCCCGACACGGCACCTCGGGGGCTCCGGCTTGGTCTTCGGGAGCCGGGCCGCCTCCTCGGCCCCTCGCTCGCACCCTTCGTGTAGCTGCTCTGGAATGTGCTACATTCCTCTACGGCGCTTCTAAAACTTCAACGCGTGTTAAAACATTAGATACAGCCTGCAGTCTAACTTGCATTCGTGAAGCCTCTGATTTGATCCTCCCCCAGTTGGCCAAGTTTTCTGTTCCTTTAACCTCCCCAAACTCTCCCTCCTGACAGTGCCTGGACTGCTGCTTTCCTCAACCAACTCACTTTCTTCTCCCACTGCCAGTTGGCATATGTTCCCTGCGTTTCCTCAGTCAATGCTCCTGCCATCCCAGCCTTCCCAAAGTATTCCACTGGCAAACAGTCCCTGGCTGCCTCCCTCCCACACCCCCTCCAGAAAAAGTCTGACTTCTCTGCACCCAGAAGTCGCACGGAGAGCTGCCATTGGCACATGTTTTTCCATTGTTCTTCACTGTTGTTTTGTGGATTTAGAAATTCTTATTTTTTTAGGATGCCTACCTTGGTATAATTGCATTTTCGCGCTTTAATATGAGGCAGCAGTCTTGAACTTCTTCCTTGAACAGCATGTCACGCGGTGGTTTAAAATCTGCAGAGGAGCTATTGCAGATCTCGGAAAGTCCGCCGGAATAACACTGCCAATAAAAGGTTTGTCTAATGCGCATATGGGAAGCTGGTCTTGTCCTACCTCTGGCTGAACGCACAGTCTTGAAACTTGGCCAGCGCAGAAGGCCCTGAGGCTTATCATACTACCTAGAATGAATTCACAGTTTCTTTGAAAGGGCTGGAGAGTTCTAGGTTCCTTGCCTCCTCTAGAAACATGCCATTTTTGTGTACTTAAATGTATGCATCTTACTCTGTAAGTCCTTGTTCTTTGCTTGTTTTATTGACCTGCCTTTCACCTATTGCTTTGCAAATCTCAACCGCCGTATTTTCGTATGCAAGTAAAGAAAATTGCCTTCATAACTTTGTTTTTAACTAGCTCTAGTGCTAAGGACTTGTGTTATGTAAGGATGGGCACTCTGCTTTCCTCGCAAGCTAGTTAGTAGAAAGTTTTGATAGCATTTCTTTTATATACTTAATTATAACTCTCTCTGTTTGCTGCCTAAGAACAGAAAGAAATGTTTGGTGTTTAGGCAAAATTTTAAATTTACATCACTCAAATCTCTTCCATCGACAAGATATTTACTTGGTCTTTTCCAGAACCTGAGGCCAATTTGCTTTAGTTTGAGAAATTGTAGCTTCGTGTACGACAAGTTTAAGAAGTGATTTTATCAAGAAATACTTAAGTAGAGACTTGTGTTCTCTCTTGTAATAGCAAAAAGCATAAACTAGTCTTTTATAGGACTCAGACATACGCGAAACCTTCTGAAGATGTGGGATTTCTTCCAAGAAAAGCTTATTTTGTAATGCTCCAGATACCTCATATATCTTCTGTCTTACATTTTAAAAATACTATAGCACCCAAAGATGTGAATAGGTGTTTGGGGGTGAGAAGGGAAAGGTCAAAAGCTTTTTATAAGTGATTGACAAGCCTATTTTTCTGTATGTAGCACTTGGGCATTCCAAGTTATGGAATGAAATGTCTTCCTTGCCTAAGGATTTGTGTGCCAGAAATTTCAGGAGCTGAATGTGCCAGTTGGGAGCGAGAACTAGGCATCAAGTTTTCCCACCCAAAGGAAAGGGAAGTTTCAGGTCCATACTCTTTGCCAACTGCTATAATCTGGAGCGTTTCTGAACTCGTTATCAATGGCTGGTGATTTGGAGCATATGGATAATCTTCTGAGCTTCCAGGGACTTAACTAAATCTAAAGTTGCCCTGCCTTGCTGAGGGATCTCATTGCAAATTATTGCAGAGCCCTTTGTGGACATTCATATTTGTGGTTTAATGCAAGAACAAGTTTAAGCTACACCACAGTGAGCCACTCTTAAGCCAAGTAAATCTCCAACAAGCGTTTTGCAGGAGATTAACCAAAGCAGCACCTTCAGGGCTTGTCTGTAGGCAAAACTGAACTAAAGCTCAAAGAGCAGCATGTTCTCTTGTTTGGTGCTGAAGTGATTTCTCCAGGCCTAGCTTTGGAAATTGTTCCCTTTACCAGCAATCTGGCAGGAAGGGGTTTGTTTTGTTTTAATGTGATACTTAACAAACTTTTTTTTTTAATTCCTCCCCCCACCATCACAAATAATGAAAGCAGTCTTATGTCAGTGGCCCCTGGCTTTTTTGGATGCTGTCAAATAGCTTCTTTCTCCCTGCTCCTCCTTATCCCAAGGTCTTCCTCTCTCCCCTCCACCTGCACTTCTCTTCCCAGTTCCTCTTTCTTTTGGGTACTTGCCACCCCTGCTGTCTCCCTGGCTTGCTGCTGAAGCCAGCAGCACTGATGCAGACCTAGTCAGTAAGCGAGGCAGAATTTATCTTGCCTGTGGGTGCTTCTTGCCAAGTAGGAGCTCTGGTGCTCTGCTTAGTTCAGTCTTTGGGGTTTTTTTTTTCCCCTTTCTCCTTGTGTACCGCAGTTCACATAAATTTGGGGTTTCAATGAAATGTCTTAGGAGTAGCTTATTAAATATAGTATATAACACCAACTTTAAAGTATTTCAATTAAATGGCGGGAGGGGGAACAGAATCCCTTACAGTCGTGAATACAAATGTTCCAGCAATCCTGCGCTGTCAAAGTTTTCATCGTGCATCTCATCAAAGCTTGATTATTGCCTTAGTAGGACTCTGTAGCTAGTGTCTAGGTCTCCACTTCCCTTCTGGAGGGCTTATAAAGAGAACTAACTAGGAATGTCATTTTTGTTATGATTCAGATGCAATCCACCATTCTGTATTTGGGCAGTTTTGCCTGGCGATATCACTAGCTAACTAAGGGTTACAGGACTGACCCTCTGTTTAAAATAAACCCCACTTGGTTTACAGCGCTTTGAGCTGCTGTACTAAAATATTTAGTGAAGACTTCTATTATTTAAAATGCTTTGGGTAGGGAGTCGTCTCACTTTTCAGTGCTTTTTCTCTTGGGCCACCTGTTTAATTCTGGGATTTTTTTGCTTGAAGTAGGACTGAATTCTTCAGATATGACAATCTGTTGAGAAATCAGCTGTGATTGTCACTTAGCTCTTTTTTTTTTTTTTTTTAAAGTGTAGTAATGGACTTCTGAGGCTGTTGAGGCTAATACATCACTGCTCCAAAAGCAGATACTGTAATCTGACAGGTTGGAAACATGCCCCCCCACACATGACACTTAAAAGGCTGTGTTTGAACCAGCCCTGTTGTCAGGGGCACTAGAAGAAGGGGATGCTGTCTCCCACTGCTTCGCTTGCAGCGCCAGAAGCAGCCCTGCTGTGAGCTGAGACCACTGCCGACAACTTAGAGGTGGCAGGTTGTGTTGCTGGACAGGAGGTAAACAGCTCCTTTCACTTGTCACTTGCCCCTAGCAGCCCGGGCAGGATGCGAATCAAGATTTCACTGAGCCTACTGGTGCCTTTAGGGCAGGGAGAGGTTCTTTCCCTGTGCTGTCCTGCAAAACAGCACAGTAGAAGGCGGAGAAGAAAACATGCGAGTTGAGAACCAAAACTCATGAGAGACTGCCGCTCTCAGCCTCAGGTCAGGTGAAAATAGCCTGACAGTGGTTCAGACTGATAGCAGACAAAGTGGGCCTGGAGGAAGGAGTGTGGGGTTCCCCTCCTCTGGAGAGCTTGCTTTGGCCCTGAGACTTTTCTGCCAAGCAGGTGGTGTTGAAAAAGCTGGGCCCTGCAGAGCTAGTATCTCTGTATATGGACAGTCAGTCTCAGAATAGTTAAAAATGGAAGCTGAAGTGACTGTAAGCAGATGTTTCTAGCTTTGATACCCCATTGTATTAGCATTTTGGGTAGTTCTGTTTTTTGTCACATAAGATGTTTATGCAAATGAGTCTTTCAAAAAGCTTGTCTTTGGGGGTAATATACCTGATGAAGTATTTTGCTTTCAATTGTAGCTTTCATCATGGGGGACATGAAAACCCCAGACTTTGATGACCTCTTGGCTGCTTTTGACATCCCTGATCCGACTAGCCTTGATGCCAAGGAGACCATCCCGTCAGCTGGGGAGGAGAATGAGAATCACCTGAAGTCATCAGGAATCTGCATAGATGAGAATGTGTCCTTATCCCACTCTTTGCCTCCCTCTGATGCTCCTGTTGTGAGTGTTATTGTGAAGAACACAAGTCGTCAGGAGTCCTTTGAAGCAGAAAAGGAAGGGAATCATCTCGGGGCTGGTCTGTTACACAATGGATTTCGTGGATCTGATCTGCCATCAGAGGCTCACGCTTTAGTGCATAATTATGGGAAGTTTGAGTCAACTTTTATTAATGGTGATAGCTCAAGAAGTTACTCTGAAAAACTGGACCAGTCCAAGTCAGAGCCTTTACCAACATTTAGTCAGTTTAGCCCTATTTCCAGCCCTGAACCAGAGGATGCATTCAAAGAGAACAGTATTGGTGATAAACCAAAACATGCCCAAACTCCATATTTTCCACCACCGTCAATGTATGTTCCAACAGGAGCTTCAGTACTAGATCATCTTAGGAAGGTACCAGAGCCAGAATTAAGCATGTTTGATCAGTATTGTAAAAAGGAACAAAAGATGGAAATCCACTGCCAGCCAGAAAGTAGGCTGGAAATGAGCAGAAGAGAACAAGACAAAGCGACAGAGAGATTTGTGGAATCAAGCAAGGACTTGGTAGATACCAATAGTTTTCTTGGAGAAGGCTTGGTGTTTGGAGACCTCCCTAACAGTAATTTAGGAGAAAGTAAAGGATCTGTGCCTGAGCTGAACATATACTCATCGGTACCGCCTCGCCAGAGGTTAAAGCCAACTCATTCAAAGTTGTCATCCTGCGTGGCTGCGTTAGTAGCTCTTCAGGCCAAAAAAGTTGCATGTATTCCAAAAGGTGATCAGCTGAGTCTTACAAAAGAACCTTCTGGTCCTTTTAAAGATGGAACAAAGGGAAGTCCGAAAATGCCGAAGTCACCAAAGAGTCCGCGAAGCCCCTTAGAGGTGGTAAGGAAGGCCAGCAAGCAGCCTGAGAGTCCTCGAAGTGTGTGCAGTGATAGCAGTGGGAAAGGCTCTCCTTCCATGGCAGCAGGCTCTCCTCCAGCTATTCCCAAAGTTAGGATAAAGACTATCAAGACATCCTCTGGTGAAATTAAAAGAACTGTAACTAGAATTTTGCCAGAAAATGATGAGTTGGGCAAATCTTCAGAAGAATCACCTGTGGAAACCTCATCTGCTGAAGAGTTTCTCAAGTCTTTACCTTCCCCTGACACTAGCGCAGTAATGGAAAACGAGGCTAGCAAGAATTCAACCAAAAATGGGGCTGCTGTGGCTATCCAGCTGTCAAATGTAGTGAGTCCTTACGCAGATGGTATGAAAACAGATATTACTGCAAATAATGCATCTGCTGTGTCTCTGTCTCCACTGCCAAACTGCAGCAGTGGTGCCATAAAAGTAGGTATTGTGGGTCAGCAGCTGAACAAGCGGCAGCAGCAGGGCATCGTGGTGCAACCATCTAATGCGACCAACTCCAGTCTTCTTCCTAAAGCTGTGCACTTGGCAAATCTCAACTTAGTTCCACATAGTGTTGCTGCTTCCGTTACAGCAAAGTCATCCGCTCAGAGGCGAAGTCAACCTCAGTTGACACAAATGTCTGTGCCACTGGTACATCAAGTAAAGAAAGCTGCTCCTGTAATTGTGGAGGCATTTAATAAAGTACTACACAGTGCCAATCCGGTGCCAATATATACTCCAAACCTTAGCCCTCCACCTGACACCAGTATTAATTTACCTGCTTCTGGGTATTGTTGCCTGGAATGTGGGGATTCGTTTGCCTTAGAGAAAAGCCTAACTCAACACTATAGTAGACGAAGCGTTCATATTGAAGTCATGTGCACTCAGTGTTCAACTATGCTACTTTTTTTTAATAAGTGTAGCTTGCTTAAACATGCGAGAGATCATAAGAGCAAAGGATTTATCATGCAGTGTTCCCAGCTGCTAATGAAACCAATTTCCTTAGACCAAATGTTTTCACCTTCTCCTACGAGCTCTTCGGTGTCTTTGGCTCCTCAGACTTTGCACTTCCCTTCTCCTTCACGTAAACCCAATGCTACTTCAGGAAGTGGCGTAGGAATTTCTTCTAACACTCAACCAGCCTTGCCTCTGTATACGGACCCTTTGAGACTAACTCGTCATGGACTTAAGTGTCTTGAATGTAACAAGCAGGCGCAAGATTACATTGCTTTAGCAGCACATTACCAGAGAACCTCAGAAGATAATGAGAGACTGGTAAGTCGTCATTTTAGTATTACTAGTTAAATCTCTTTGAGTATGGTTTTTAAGAGCTTTGTCCTCTAGGAACAAAGCAAGCATCACAGTAGCTAAGGAGTAACTTTGTCTAGAGGGCTATTTGTGGGGAAGATGTGGGGATACGTGTGCTGAGGCCAGTGAGCCCAGGCATAGTGGTCTCTGCGTGTATCTGAGGAGACCACACTGAATGCTAATCTTCTATTTTGGGCATGCTGGTATTGCTTTCTTACCTTCTTCCTACACTTTGAAAATAAAACGGGGTTGGTGTCTTTAGTTATGGGGATGACAGGTAATGGACAGTAAGAACTACAGAGATGCTCAAGCATCAAAGGAATTTGGTGTTGGAGATCAAGAATCACTTGGATGAGGTGTGCAAGAACACTGTAGAGGAAGACCAGCAGAGTGGTACCTTAATCAAACAGGTTTTTGTACTCTAGACTTGGTTAGAGAAAATCTGACGTAATGGAATTTCACCTCCTGTAGAACTCGTGCCAAAATCTGCTGTGTAACAGTGGACTTTGGGAGCTACTTTTTCTTTCAGCCTGGTAAAGGAGTGGAATGGGACTGACTGAGAGGCTAGCAGTGTGATATATGTGGTGGTGGTGGTATTCTGACGACAGCACAGACTCCGTAGACCATAGACTTTGGGGGCTTTCTGTTTGACCATACCCTCTTAAAAAAAAAAAAAAAACACCCTTCTAAGTATAAAAGAATCTAAAGCTGAACAGGAGGAGGAATCCTTTCTGCTTATCTCTTCAGAAGAAGTGAAAGCTTTCCACATCCCTCTGGCTGCCAGTAGAGCTGGCAGACTCCTAGTACGATCTCCTCTGTGAGCTCCATGAATAAGGACGTCACGACAATATGAAATGTCCTGGGGACTTGACTGCCAGTCTCTGCAACTACGGAGATGACCAGGGCACACTCCAGAGCATCCCTTTTCTAGTTGAATGGATAACAGGAATGTTGAGGTTACTAACATGGGCACACTTGTGGTCCCATTTAGGTGCTTTGTTATCTTTCTCTTAAAGTCGTCATCAGCAAAAAACTGATTATGCCTGGATGATTTTTATCTGGTGAAAAATGGTAAGGCTAGAAAGGATTGTCATGGCCACATAATCAGGTTTCTTGTGCAAGACAGACATGCAAGCACTGGGCTCTGTCAGCCCCATTACTTGGTTTTGCGCTATGGTGCATTTTTAAGAAAGGTCAGCAGTCTTGAATTAAAACTTTCAGGTGAAAAAAATACAGTGGGTGCTCCTAAGTGAGCTAAAATGCTAATCGGTCACATCAAAAATGTATTTCCTATTTTGGTTGTGCAATTATCAATTCGAGAACTACTTACAGAGAGAACAAATATCTGATAGTATTTTTAGACTGTAATCAAATCATTTATTCTGTAACTTAACTGAAAAAAGAGTTTAAGCCTCTTGCTTTAAATTATATTCTCTAAGTGTCAGATTATTTTTGTGAACATTAAGTGTTGAAGAAGCTGGAAAAGAGTGGACATGAGAGCTCAGAAGACCGTCTCCTCCCTACTTGGTCTTACCATGTATATATGCAAAGGGATGTATTCGTCCTCTTGCTACAGCATTGCACTGGAAGTCCTTTTTCAGTGTGTCTGCTGTCCTCCAGACTGCCTTGTGGTGCTCCATACCATTCCCAGAATATCTGTTTCAACAAAACTGGTAAATTTCCTAAGTATTTGTGCCCATCTGCACTCAGCTGGTGCTTTTCTGTGAAGTAGGCTGCCTTCTCACAGGGGAGCTATAGGTCACTCCTGTTTTTTTACAAAACAAAAGTGCTGTTGTGCTATGATTGTATTGGGATGTGGCACAAGAAGGATGCAGTTAAGACTGTTGGAGTATACATCTTAAGCTCCTGAAATAGGAAGACGTGAACTGGCTGAACTCACTCTGTGACATCACTCTGTGATGCTGTGGACAACCCCGATTCTGCATTAATGAAGACAACTTCTTGGGTTGCTATTTTTATTTAAGTCAGAAAAAGGAATGCTGGTAGGAGCTAGAAATGACTGAGCGTCTAGTTTCACAGACGCTTTCTTAGGTGGCAAAAGCAGTTGAAAATACTCCTCTTCTCCTCTTGCCCTCACCATCTGCTCCTGTCTCCAGAGTTGTGCTAGGTCACTTGTTTTTGGGGCAGTGATATAAATTGTGCTGCTGAGGAAAGCATTCATGTAACAGCTGCATTCAGCAAAACATTTTAGTTTTATCCCCTAGTAGGCGATGTTTTTCTACTGTGTTGAGACCTTGCTTAAGAAGAAAGGCGTTGTGGGGGGGAGGGTAATTATCATCGTTTCCTAAAGCTAGCAAATGACCATCTAGTATTTTGAGTTTTGTATTTTTGAATATTGTGCTCAATCCCAGATTTGAGTCACAAACTCTTCCCCGTGCGTCCGTAAAGTACAGAGCGTCTCGATGTACTTTAAAGTACTCGATGCACTAAAGCTGTGGCTTGCCCTCTACGTTTCGAAGAGCTTCAACAAACAGAAAAAGTCTCTTCAACTTTGTTTGCAGCAGAGCTGGTCCCCACTGTGTTATGTCCTAAAGCTCATCATCAGTGATTGTTATATCCAGATTACTCTGGTACCAGATTATCCCCCAAAAGTGGGTCCTTGGGAAGGATAGATGGATGTATAGGGAAAG